TTTTTTTTTTTTTTTTTTTTTTTTTTTTTTTTTTTTTTTTTTTTTTTTTTTTTTTTTTTTTTTTTTTTTTTAACGAGACATACACATAAAGCCAGTAAGCATCCGAGTTTTTGAACCCTAATAAGGATTACTTTCCCGATAAAGGCAAAGACAGACACAACAAGTGACACGACCCGTTGATTGTTGTACCATGAAGTCTATATCATCACGTTTAGGATTGATTGTGCCATAAAGATCGATTATTGCTTCTTCTTTTTTAATTTCGACGAAAATTTATCATAAACAAAATAACGTGATTCTTTATTTCTCAAAACATTCAAATCTTTACATTTATTACCAAATTATTTCATTTCAAATCATAAACTTTTATCATATGAAACTCGAAAAAAAAAATCTATATTCAATGAACTAAATATTAAATTTAAGAGATTGCTATGATACTATGAATCGTGTATATTTTATGTACGGTTAAACTATACGGAATTTTAATTTACCGTTCATTTTTGTACTTTTATTTTTTAAAATTATTATTATCGTTTTGTATTAATTGCTTCTAAGACATGACACGTGCAAAATCACTCGGCTACTTTCAAAATATTATTTATTTATTTATTTTTATAATTTGATTTTAATTTTTATTACATCTAATCCAATCAACCCTTCGTGGGTGATACTTAGATGGGATCCATCATCTACTTTTTCAATTATTATTATTATTATTTTCTTATGCAATTATTTATTTATTTATTTATGTGGTTTGATTTAATTATATCACCACCATCTTATATTATATAAATATATTTCAATTCATAGCTTTAAAAATATTTGAATAATCGGGTCCGAAAAATTCGGTTACCGGCAGAATTTGATTAATTTAATCTAATTTATACAGTTTGGACGGAGTTGAGTTGAATACAAATAAAAATTTTATGGGTTGAATTGGTTCGTGGGTTCTCCAGAAATTAGTTTGGATTAAATTGTATAGACCCAAATTTATTGTTAATTTATATATTAGTTCAAAAAACGTGGATAACCGTTAGATCAATCTAATTTATTTTTGAATAACTTTTTAAAAAATTTAAATCGGGAAAGATTTACAAATAAATAAATGGATATTTTATATATTAACATTTTACTTTTATTTAAAATTTTGAATAAATGATTCGAATAATTCAAACGAATCGAACCTATATATTTTACGGGTGAGTTTGGTTGGGTTAAGTTCATTATTTAATAAAGTGTGAGATCCTACAACGGTTAGAGAGGAGAACGAAACATTCTTTATAAGGGTGTAGAAATCTCTTCCTACTAACAGACGTGTTTTAAAAACCTTAAGAGGAAGCCTTAAAGGGAAACTGTGATGTCCCACGTTGGTTGGGGAGGAGAACAAAATACCCTTTATAAGGGTGTAGAAACCTTCCCCTAGCAGACGCGTTTTAAAGCCTTGAGGGGAAGCCTAAATAGAACAATATCTGCTAGCGGTGAGCCTGAGTTGTTACAAATGGTATCAGAGGTAGACACGATGTGTCAGCCTTCTCACTGTTCCCCGAATGGGGTAGACTCGAGACAGTGTGCCAGTAAGGACGCTGGCCCCAAAAAGGGGTGGATTGTGATGTCCCACATTGATTTGGGAAGAGAACAAAATAACCTTTATAAGGGTGTAGAAACCTTTCCCTAGTAGGCGCATTTTAAAGCTTTGAAGGGAAAGCCCAAAGAGAACAATGTCTGCTACGGTGGGTCTGGATCATTACAAATGGTATTAGAACCAGACACTGAATGATATGTCAGCCTTCTCGCTGTTCCCCGAAGGGAGTAGACTCGAGGCAATGTGTCAGTAAGGACGTTGGCCCCAAAGGGGGTGGATTGTGATGTCCCACGTTGGTTGAAAAAGAGAACAAAACACCCTTTACAAGGGGCTGGAAACCTCAATGTGTCAGTAAGGACGTTGGCCCCAAAGGAGGTGGATTGTGATGTCCCACGTTGGTTGAAAAGGAGAACAAAACACCCTTTACAAGGGAGTAGATTGTGATGTCCCACGTTGGTTGAAAATGAGAACAAAATACCCTTTACGGGGCTGGAAACCTTCTACAGCAGACGTGTTTTGGGTTTCAAAAACAACCGAACAATTAGATCTGACTCCAATTCAATCTATGAATACTTCTAGTGGCCTCGATTCAAACCTAAAAAACTCGAAATTAAAAAAAAAAGTGTCGGCATTGGAATGTGATTATAGAGAGGATTTAATTAGAATATAGTTTATTAAGAAAAGATTGAAATGTCCGTACAACAACAAATGAAGCAAAGTGTGGTGGTTTCATTTATGAACCCAACCTCCTTTGTGTCCCACTTTCTTTTAATGCCCTTTTCCCTCATTTACTTACTATCAATATTATATACTCTTTTTACTCCAAACTAACCTAAAACGGGTCTCGGCCGAACTCGATGATCTTTAAATCGAGCATAGTAAATTTGAAACACTGTTCGAATCATCCATCAACCTTTGAAATGATAGTTGATATCTTATCAGTGAGCTATGTTCGAATGATCGAGATAATAGTTTTAAGTAAGTTGTGAATATGTTATGGACATGATATTGACGTAAAATTGAACCGTTCGAGATCGGGTAGAACTTTATATAGTAAATAGGCACAAAACAACTCAAACCCATGATATTATACTCATTGGGCTTTCCCTCTCTCTTTATATTCTCCTCCCCAACTAATGTGAGATCTCACAATCTACTCTCGTTAGGGCCTAGCGATCTCACAGGCACTTGTTCCATTCTCCCATCAATGTGAGACCCTCTAATCTATCCCCCCCTTTGAGGCACAGTGTCCTTGCTGGCACATCACCTCGTGTCCACTCCCTTCGAGGCTCAGCCTCCTCGCTAGTATATCGCCTAATGTCTGGCTATGATACTATTTGTAACGGCCCAAGCCCACTACTAGCAAGCATTGTCCTCTTTGGACTTTCCCTCTAGGTTTTAAAATGTGTCTATTGGGGAGGGTTCCACATTCTTATAAAGAATACTTCGTTTTTTTCCTAACCGATGTAGGATCTCACACAAACTCGAGAGGGTAAATTTGTAATTTTACGCTTCGGGAGTAAGATTTTGTTTGGTTTTTTTTTTTTTTTTTAGGCAAAATAACAAAGAAAAGGAAAAAAAGGGGGAAAAGGAAAAGAAGAACTTTAGGAGAAAAGGAAAAGAAAAAGGCAAGGAGAAGGTGAAGAAACAGAACCCAACACTCTCTCCCAGACACAGCTTTTTCCTCTCTTTGCGCCAATTATTCAACTTTCTCTCTCTACTTTTCTCTCTCTTCCCTCATTTTCATGTGTCGCTCTCTTCTCTGAAAAGACAAAACCGTGGATCTATGAATCTCTTCTTCCTTCTTCCATTTTCTCCTCTCCTTTTCTCTTCTTCTATCTCTCCCTTCAACACCCATCTTCCAATTTCTTCTTCTTTTCTCTCCTGATTCAAGAAATTAGGTTTTCATTTCCTGATTCTGTTGATTCCCTTCAGATCTAATCCCCTTTTTAATACCCATTTCCGCCTCCCCTGCAAATCCCATCTCTGTTTTCTGCTTCCCCTTTTGATTTCATCCATACCCATCTTCAATTTCCTTCAATTTCTGTAGTTTTTTCTGTTTCTGGGTTTGTTCTTGATAATGTCGTCCTTGCGCTTAGATCTGACATCTAAGATCTACCCAGAACCGGACTCTGTTTTCTCTGTTAATGATCACTTTGATCATCTTCCGGATTCCCTTCTTCTTCTTATTTTCAATAAGATCGGTGATGTGAAGGCCCTTGGTCGATGCTGCGTTGTTTCTCGAAGATTTCACTGCCTTGTGCCTCAAGTGGAGAACGTTGTTGTTCGTGTGGATTGTGTTATTTCTGATGATGAATCGTCTTCTTCCTCTTCCTCCTCTGGTAAATCTCGTGGTCCCTTTTTCAATATTTTCCGGTTTGTATTTGGCGGCATTGTAAAGCCCCTCCAAGCGTTGGGTCAGTTTTTGGGTCAGACACGAGCGTCATCGAGTTTAGCCTCGTCTTCCTCTACTTCGTCTCTTGCGGTTGGGACCCAAGAGGATGGCGAAATCGATCAAAGTGGGGTGACCCATCACTCCCCGACCCAAGTTCTTAAGAATTTTAACGAGATTCGTTGCCTTCGGATCGAGCTTCCTAGTGGGGAATTGGGTATTGATGATGGGGTTTTGTTGAAATGGCGAGCTGATTTTGGATCCACTTTGGATAATTGTGTGATTTTGGGTGCTTCTTCGGTGATTCAACCTGGCTCCATCAAGTCCTCGACTCAAGATAATGGTATTGATGGAGGGCTCTGTATTGGCATTGGCGGCGCTAGCGATGATAATGGTAGCATACCCGAATCCTTCTACACCAATGGAGGTCTAAAATTGAGAGTAGTATGGACAATTAGTTCGCTTATTGCGGCTTCCGCTAGACACTATTTGTTGCAACCAATAATAGCAGATCACAAGACATTGGATAGTTTGGTTCTAACTGATGCGGATGGACAAGGGGTTCTGTGTATGAACAAAGATCAGCTTGAGGAGTTGAGGGTGAAGCCATTGTCTGCTTCCACGGCTTCTAAGAGAACCCTTGTACCAGCTCTGAACATGAGACTTTGGTATGCCACACACTTAGAATTGCCTAATGGGTTAATATTGAAAGGCGCTACCCTGGTCGCTATCCGACCGAGCGAACAGTCTGCAACGAAGAAGGACGTTTCTGACTGCTCCTGGGCTTCAACAGCCTTTGAAGAACCATATAGGACTGCTGCAAAGATGTTAGTGAAGAGGAGAACGTATTGCCTTGAGATGAACTCGTTCTGAAAGTACAAATAGTAATTCGAGGTAAATTCTTAATGCATACAAGCATTGTCCTAGCTTTTGATTCTTGCAAGATGAGTTTTGTTCCAAGTTTAGAATCGAATTTGCTCGTGGCCCTTGGTTATTACCACATAATCCGTAGAATGCTCGTTTCGATTCTTTCTTGGATGAAATGAACCTAATACACTGTCAATCATGTGAGTGATTGGGCTTATTATACATGTTCTTAGGATTAAGTACATCAAACGAGTTCATAAGAATCTAAGTTATCTGATATCACTGTGTGTTCTGCAAAACCTTACTTGTTTTCTTGTTCATGCTTCTTTCAAGTCTTCAACTGTTCTTATATCGTAACCGTATTAGAGTTCGGGTTTTCAGGTATAGAAGAGATAAGGTACAAAGGGAGGAGGAAACTGCACACCATCAGAAAATGAGTATCAGGAAGAAGTTCTTACTGATATGCAGCCTAGGATAATCGAAACCATTTTCTGAGTAGAGTGGCTAGAGAGGGGAAAGAAACGAAACGAAAACTCATTCGTTCGCGTTCGTTTCGGTAAAAGGTGATAGTTGAAAATGCATCTGCTGGTTGTTTTTGTTACAGGCATTTGCTATTTGATGATGATGTAAAAGGTTTGAGTTTGTAGTCCCTTGAATATGTGAATACTTTAGGTAAGAAGACTTGATTATGATCTCATGTGATATAGTTTGAAGTTTATAAATGTAAGGGTTTGTTATATGATAAGTGTCTGAAAAACAAATGGGATTAGGCATGAAGCTTTGTACACTCTGAGAACATATATATTATGCAGAAACAGTGATATATGTAGAAAGATTGGTGAGTTTTGCCTTGTTCTTAGCTGTTTGTTTCTATTATTGAAGCTTTGACACTCATAAACTGGGCTTAGTGGTGGTCTGTGATGGACCTTATCTTGTTCCTAAACTGTGCTATCTGTTTGTACTGTTGAGTGTGAAGGAAGAGGGACCTTTTTGTGTGTGTAGGTCAGGTGTGTCCATGGCTTATCCATAGGTTCTTTAACTGAGAAAGTTGTTGTTCATGATGTGTTTGTGAATGTTTTGACAGCAAGCTCCAATGATTGGAGGAGATTCATTGCAGGTCGTAGGCTGGATTATAGGCTTTCCTTTTGATTTGAATGGAATGGAATGGAATGGATTTTCCCTCTTGTAATGTGATTCTCACACGGTATCTAGGTGTCCCCTGCTACTCGGTTTAGAATAGGAGTTAGTGATGACTTTTGCGGCTATTGGATTAGTACTATGAGATTCTACATCGGTTGGAGAGGAGAACGAAGCATTCTTTGTAAGGGTGTAGAAACCTCTCCGTAGCATATGCCTTTTAAAAACCTTGAGGGGAACCCTGAAAGGAAAAGTCCAAATAGGACAATATCTGCTAGCGGTGAGCTTGGGCTATTACAAATGGTATCAAAGTCAAACATTGGTAGATGTGCCAATGAGGAGGCTGAGCCCCGAAAGGGGGTGGACACGAGGCAATGTGCACGCTAGTCTCCAAAGGAGGTTGGATTGGGGGGGTCCTACATCGATTACAGAAGGGAACAAGTGCCTGTGAAGACGTTGGGCCTCGAAGGGAGGTGGATCGTGAGATCCCACATCGGTTAGAGAGAGGAACCAAAACATTCTTTTATAAGAGTGGAAATCTCTTCCTAACAAACGCGTTTTAAAAACCTTAAGGGAAAGCTTGAAAAGGAAAGCTCAAAGAGAACAATATCAAACAAAACACTCTGCCTCCTCCGTCCATCTCTTACTAATTATTGAATTAGGTGTGTATGGTTGATTAGTGCAGCTGTTGGTCATGTGAAACATCTTGTTCTTAGCTTTGTAGAGTTAAGAATGCACGTGAAATGAAGTCCTTAATGAACCCAAACACACGCCCAATCTCTCTTCTCCATACCCTTGACTTTTCAGCAATTATTAACTTCTCTATATATCACTATCTTACATTATCTACAAAAACTGATATCAATTTGCTGTCATTTCTATTTCATTTCCTGCCACAAGATTAAATGATGACATGTTCATAGTTTTTGGCTGCTGCTTTCTCAATTCTGATTCCTAACGCAACCGTGATTCAGATTATGATCGAAATCAGAATTTTGGGGCACCGAGATTCATTGCAGATTGAGTTAGAACAACAAAAAGAGTACAGCATAATGTTCATATGCCCTGAAGTGGAGATTTGAGACGATTAACATAAGGTTGTTATCGTCGAAGGGATATCTCAACCATTTTTTTAGTTCAACTACACGTGGAGGTGGGATTCGAACCTCTAACGAGGACGTTGACATATAACTTAGCTGTAAGTAATAAGTTTCAACAACAAAGCATGCATTGGTTGTGAAAGATTACACATAAACAGATGAAAACACAATGAGAATCAATACGAGAAGTGAAGGAACCAAAATGGTTGAAGCAATGGAAAAGGCGAAGTGTTTCAGAAGAATAAAAATGTGTAGTAATTCACTCACGATGGGCGCTACGGTCCATCTCTCGTGCTCCATCTTCATGACCTGCCACGGAAAATGATATCCACTGCATAAGCAAACAGGTATCTCTACAAACAAACTGGTTTCACATAGATATACTGATAGATCCAGAATGAACAGAATAATTCAAAGACAACTTCTTAATTTCATGTCATGGAAAGCTTTGAATCTGTTAAAACAAAGAATGATATTCCCGATGAATCAAGCACAGAATAGTTCAAAAGGATTCTAAAAGAAAGTGAAATGATCAACCTAGAAATCTAATCCTGTTTGCATTTACTTTATTCTATTGATCACAAGAGGTAGCAGCTTTATTTGTGTTCTTCCACTTTCATTTGATTTCAAACTGGTGAAAAGTACTATCTAATCTAAAGCTCAACAAAAAGCAGATATTATGACTTTTTAGAGTAGTAAGCTACCTTATCTTTAATATTAATAAGTTCGTGTTTTGATATCCGTAAAATTGTAAGGACAAATCTGAAGATCTTTTATCTTGTATCGTTGAACTACTACGGTTAGCCTCATACGTGGCGAGGTTCTAAAACGGGTGTTGAGAAGAGACCTGTATAGTTCATATGACTCCATCTCATATAAGAATAAGTTGATTTTGTTGTGAGATCCTACATCGGTTAGAGAGGGGAATGAAACATTCTTTATAAGAGTGTGGAAACCTCTCCCTAGCAGACGCGTTTCAAAAACCTTGAGGAAAAATCCAAAGAAGACACTAATATCAATCCTACCGATATAGATATGCTTCTACATATCTCAGTATGTTCAAATGCACATGCGTTTCTAGTTCTAGAACACACCGGCAAAGACGATCCTTCGAAGTAAACTTGTTTTATCTTCTCCTAATATCCAAATACGACATTCAAATTCATCAAGATATTCAATCATTACCGTTAAAAGTACTTTAAAACGTTTCAAAAGTCCTACAAATTATCTCCACGACCATGTGATTCACTAGCACTACCAAAAAGTTGTGTTTTCTAATATCCTACATGCTTATATACTTGCCTTCCTTGCACACCAACAGAGCTTCTTCACTATAACTTACCATGCATACTCTTCCTAAGATTATAGGTCTTATAAAAACACTTCAAAGTTGACTGATTGAGTTACAAGCACATGCAAGTTCTTACACTCTGATCTATGAGATAAGCAAACTATATGCCTAAAGTACCCTATGGAGTAGCATGAACAATGAGATTAAAAAATAAACGGTAAAGTTTATAGCTATCCTACAAGGTTTAATAAAAGAGGAATAGGGTATGTATAGGCCATAGGGGGAAGGCAAGGAATAGGGTATTCTCGTTTGAGGCAATGGTTGAACACACACTTGGGTTGGTGGGTTGGCGTTTCACCAAGCCCCATGAAACCCTAGCTAGCTAAAACACTACTAATGCTACTGAAACAGCCATTTAACGAAGAGGGAGACAATGAAAAGTTGTCCTCTTTTGTGAAAGTGCGCTGCTTCCACTGAGTGACAAACACATGACATGAGCATTGTTAGGGAAAAGCTTCTAATGCCTGTCATGGCCATATAAACATGAACATATGATGCTAGAGAGAAGGGAAACCAAGAGGACAACACGCTGGGGAGTGCCGAGTGGGGGACATTAACCCTCACACTAATCTATGCAGGAAAGCATTAAAATATATGAAACCCATAAAAGCATGTGATGTTTCCAATAATTTCATGTTCTTGTGAGTATCATAAACAAATCAGACAGAAACACAACACAGCAACAGCAGCAGCTCATTGATTTAAAATGTGAAGAATTACAGTAATAAGAACAGGAAGAACAGGATTATAGACCAAGATTGATTATAAGAATTTGAAATGGGTTTTTGAAATACCTGGAAATCAGTTCTTTCCTTTACCCTTTTGATCAGAGTGATGGGTTCCATCAGCGTAACAGAGTTGCCAGCTACCATCAAACAAGTGCTGATGATTTTCCAACTGTACTGGAGTAGTCGCCGGCGACGGAGCTCCGATGAAGAAGGGTAGGTTGGATCCGTCGTGAGGAAACCTCTGGAGGTAAGGTAAAAGAGACGGTGAGATATTGGACTGAAGGGTCCCCCTATTGCAACCAGCAAGGCCGGCGGAGATGGTGAAGTTGAGATTATAATCGTTCAAATTATCCGGGACAAATGAGAAATGTTGAAGCCGATCTTGTTGGGTATTTTCACCGGCCGAGACATTGAATTGCGGAACCGACATTGGCAATTGGTGTGGATTTCCCAAGAAGATTTGTCCTGAAAATCCCGCAGATTGATTATGGCCAGGCCGTGAAGATGAAGACGACGATGGTTCTTGGCCGATAATCCCAGATGAGGTGAAGTAATCCATTGCCGTTGCTTTGTCGAACAAATTCGGCTCCACGGCGGTGTTTTCCGGTGCCGAACTGGTACGATTGGTGGTGGCGCCGCCGCCAGTTAGAAGCTCAGTGAAAGATTGGTTGTTGGGAATGGATTCTTGCTCTTTTTCCTTCTCTTTCGCAGTTCTTTCCCGCGCTCTGTCGCGCGCTTTGGCTCGATTCACTAATATTTCAGAGCGGGAGAGGGATAATCCCGAGCCCTTGCTCGTCTCTGAGGTGCTACTACACGCAGACCTCGCTAATGAAAGCATCCGCCGCTGATTCTGTTGATGTTTTTTGGTGTCGCCGTCGAGCTCCATTTCCGGTGAATCAAACCCTTGGTCGGTTCCATCGCTACCCATTTTCTCGTCGCTAAAAGCGCCATGGAGAGACGGAAGCTCAGCGATGGCGTCGGCAGCTGCTTCGATTAACCACTCCACTGCTTTACTCGGCTGCTCGAAACCAAGCCGATCTTGAAGATCGTAGAATTGAATCGCGGTAGGAACGGAGAGACGAACTCGTCTATCTCGAAGCCCTTTCGATGTCCATACCTTACTGTGTCGATCTTTGCCGCCTGAAGCTCGAGCAACCCTAATAATCCGCGACGAGTGGTGCCAACCACGAAGCCGATTAACACCACCACCACCATTACCGCCGCAGCCACCTGGTTCAACTCCACCGGCGGTGGCAGAAACAGAAGCAGAAGCAACCACAGCCACCCGTGCGGAGAATTCTTTGATTTCTTCATCATCTGGGGAGTGAACAATCCCCTTTTGCCCTAATTTGTTGGATTCATTTCCACGATTTCCAATTCGTGAAAACCTACAGGGTTGTTCTTGAATCTCCACCACCTCCATACCACTTTCATTCCTTTCTGAAACAAACACTAATTATACACAACACAACAACACAAAACCCTTTTACTCCAACAGAGAGAGAGAGAGAGAGAAACAGAAGCAAAAAAAAAAAAAAAATGGTGGGTTTCGTTCAAAAGGAGATTGAATGGAGTGCAGGTGGGGTTACTGTCCTATACATATTGATGATGATAACTCAGACAGTACTTTGTCTCTGTAGCGATAAAAAGGCCTTTTTCTCCGCTTCGATATATCACATTCCAAGTCAGGAACAGCTCTATCGTTTAACCTTTTTCTTCTTCTTCTTCTTCTTCTTCTTCACCCTTCAACCATTTTCCCTCTCTGAAAATCAAAACCCATAAATTATTTCTGCAAATAAGAACACCCAGATAACAAAAACACTGATTCAACGTTTAAATCTGACCATTTATAAAACAAAACCCAGAAACCCTTTCAGATATCTTCATTTATTTCGCTCTCTCTGCTCATTAAATGATACACAATACATTAATTCCAGTGCTTGAATTCTAAACATTGTTTATGTATATATATTACCCACATATTCGATTTTGATCTTGTTTGAGAGGCAAGCCATGGCAGACATAGACATGAACACAGAATACATGAATGAATGAAATACATAGACATGTATGAATATATATATATGTATATGTATATGTATATGTATATACCTGCTGCTATGCTTTCTCTGGGTGATGTTTGTTGAGTGAGGAAGTTTGAGAGTGCAGAGGATTTATAAGGAAAGGAACTGAAGGGAGAAGGAGGAGGAGCTCGGAGTTCAAAGTGGCCCTTGAGCGGAAGGGCAGGCACTGCAATTGGGATGGCGTCCTCGCGTTTCTGATTTTGTAGACACTTTCAATTTTCGTTCTCGCTCCTTTTTTTTTTTTAAACTATTTGGATTCGAATCGGGACGTTGCACCTAATGATCCTATCATTCCCTTACGATCCAATCACATTACCTGGATTTGGGACTTGATGGTCATGTCATTCCCTTACAATATGGTCAAGTTATCTACTCTTTGCTTCTTAAGAGTATGGTAACTATTTATGCCTAGGATTTAGAATCCAGATGTGGTACCTGAAGGTCATTGTCATCCCTTTACGACATGGTCTCGCTATCTACTTCTCACTTCTTAGGAGTGTAGACTATCCCCCACAAACCCAGTACGACATGGTCATGCTATCTACTTCTCACTTCTTAGGAGTGTAGACTATCCCCACTGACTAAAATAAGTCATTCCAGTATGTTTCCTCACTTCTTAGGAGCATAGACTACCTCCACAGACCAAAACAAGTCATTCCAGCATGTTTTATCCGATGTCACCCAACATAAAATTGCTCCATTCCAACATGTTTTGTCCTTCATCCAACATAAAATTGCTCCAAACATGTTTAACCATGAAGTTCCTATGATTGAGTCATCGAACAGAAAGGTACACCTTGTTGATATAGACTTTCAATACTTTTAAGTCTTTCTTAGCTATCCTATCCACATGGTCTCTTTCTTTCGGATGCAGTCTCAACTCATTTATGTACCCCTCGTATACTCGAGTGTCACATAATCCATATAATTGTCTGATTTATACCGTTCCCACGGTTAAATCTTATTTTTTTAAAGAACATTTATTAATTTTGAAGTTTTTATCTATTTAGTCACCAGTTATAAACGTCCTTAACGTGTTTATTAATTTATCTAGCTATCACATGAATCAATAATTCATCTTAAATTCATCCTATGATAATGTTAAGTCAACATTCAATTAATGATTCAACTATACATAAAATTTTTAGGTTAAATTATGAGTTCGATTCTCACCCTATTCGTACTTCAAAATTTTCAAAGTTACGTAATGTCTAATAAACGTCTCAGATAGATTCATACGTACTTGTTTATATAACGGACGCTACCGCTACCAAATACTTAAACAAACCCAACACAGTAACTGCGTTAAAAGAAGAGACTAACCGTGATTTACTAAGTACAAAACCGAAAATGGGTCACAATCATAAGAAAGTAGAAACGGAGTACCTAAAATGTATCTTCGTCTTTCTTCTACTAAAACTTTGGCTCGTAAACACAAAAAGTTATAACAGCTCAAACCCATCAAACCCACCGCCAATAGATATTGTTCGCTTTGATCCGTTACTTATTGTCGTCAACCTCACGATTTTAAAACACATCTACTGGGTAAACGTTTTTACACCCTTATAAAAGAATGCTTCGTTTCCCTCTCCAACAGATACGAGATCTCACAAAAGTACTGTACGTCAAAAATTCCGGGACTTATTACAACGTTTTTTTAAAACAAAACGATAACGTAAGTGCAAATAAGAAATAGTTGGAGGACTAAATTATAATATATATAATTTAACAAAAGCATTAAATGAAAATGGGTAATTTTCTCATATTTATTATTGTGATGCAAAAACTTTACCAAAAAAGTTGGTGTTCATGGCTATGTTCTAATAATGGTGTCCATTCCATTAAATGACCCATACAAATATTTTCTTCATAAATTCCTTCCCAAACTTTTCAATAATTTCTAAAATTACCCACTGACAAAATTTAAAACACCACGAACATTATTCATTTCGATACGATACGTAGAACGCTTAACGATGCCGTCTGATTGTCCCTAACTGTCATTATACGTTAGCGTAAAACGATGTCGTAAGCAACCCTCATCAAAAACCCTGTAAAACATCGTCATTTTGGTGTTGTTTTCGCTTCAACACTCGTAACGACTTTGCTTTCAGATTATCGTTCGTAGTTTTCTTGCCAAGAAGGTAACGTGGAATGTGGGTATTGTGTGACGAAGTTCACAAGATCCCAAATTTTGACCTAATTTAGAATCTTTCGTTAATAACACGACGTTCTGACTATTCTTACATATTTATTGTACTTTTTCATGCATAATTCTAACCATATTATTTATTATTTGTTTTCGTGTAGTTTAATATTAAAAATCATTATGCACACAAGAACAACTGGACGAGCTACGAGTTAAATCAGTGGAATCTGTGTCAAACTTTACCTAAGTAACTGTGTGGTGGTACTTGTGTAGATGTTTCGAGACTCGGGTAGCTCGTAAGTATGCTTACGATAGTTGTATAGTTGAACAGAGATTGATAACTTTCTTACTCGAGTTTGGTTAATTTGATTACGAGAGAATTGTATTTGTTTTCAATTGAATCGATTAATGAAGTAAAGCGATAGATCGTGTTCGTGAATTGAGCTATTTCCACTGAAATATTTGTACGCATCGTACTAGAGGTATTATTAGGGTTCCAATTATGCTAATAAATTTATTGCACGTTGAACTAGAAAACAACGTCAGTTTTGAAATAACAGTTGTGAAACGACTAAAACAGTCGTCCTCAACATACAATCTCAGTGAGCAGCTGACATCGTTTGGATATGACATCATAGCTAACCGTCATCATATAGTTACAATGGTTCGACTCGATGTCAATTCAAATTTGAAATTGTAGCTATCGTATTGTTGGTGGTTTTAAACCGTCATCAAATCCTACTATGACACCTAGAAATATGACCATTTAGAAATAGTCCGGGTATGTATTCAATGTCAATTAAGGTCGAAGCTGTCGTTTTTTCCTTTTACGATAGATAATTTAAAACATGAGTGATTATTGAATTATTTTTCGACCCATAAATTGAATATTATTGTTGTCCGTATAAATGTAACATAAGTTCGAGAATATAACATTATTGTTTTCTCGATGACGTGCTACAAAACGTTAATTTAATATATTTTTTTTATTTTATTAAAATTATTTTAAATTTTTGTGTCAATAATATTTTAAAATATGGTGAGGATTTTGAATATTGTATATTATTTGATTAGTTAAATTATTTTATTACAATTGTTAAAATATCAATACATCTCTATTAATTTTATAATTATTTTTTATTATATATTTTAATTGAAAGGTATCTTTTCAAAATATAAATAAATTAATATTTTATGAATTAATGTTTTATTTTTATTAAAAATTAAATTAATAAATTATTCAATAACACCGACTGATTCAACCCAAAAATTTTATGGTTCAGTCAGATTGGGTTGGATGGATTGGGTCCAACAGACGACCTAAAATATATTTTTATTTTAATTAAAACTTTGTGGGACCACACAAAGAAGCTCAACCAGTACAATATCTACTAGTAGCTTGGACAGTTATATTTTGAATTGAAATTTAGTTATATTTTATATAATAACAATTTTCTTTTATTAAACACGCGATGTTTGGTTGGAAAATATTTACGGCTCAAATAATTAGGGTTAGCTTGAAGAATGTATTACTATAACCCAATTCAACCTACGAACATGAGTACTAGAAATGTGTATTGACCATTAAATAATTTACTGCTGTTATTATTGGATGATGAAAGTCCACGTCGGCTAATTTAGGAAATGATCATGAGTTTATAATCAATGAATACTCTCTCCATTGGTACAAGGTCTTTTGGAGAAGCTGAAAGCAAAGCCATGAGAGCTTATGCTCAGAGTGGGCAATATCATATCATTGTCGAGAGTTGTGTTCATCTAACATGGTATTAGAGTCATGCCCTTAACTAAAAGTCGAGCCTCTCGGCTCTTGCCTCGAAGGCATATTAAAAAATGACTGGGAAAGACGATGGAACTGATGATGCTTCGCTCAGAAGTCATTAACGTTGTATTTGTTGGAGATCTCGTTGATGTTGTTGGAGTAAGTGCTTGAAAGAATTAAGGATTTTATTTTTATTTTTATTTTTAAAAAATATTTTTATTTTTTTATTTTAAAAAATAAAAAACGTACGGTAATGATGTGTCTCTTATCTTCCCACCTTCACTTCATTTTATTATAATGTTTTTTTGGTTAATTAATTAATTAGGGATTTGATGGGCATCTCTCACACACCATCCCATCATGCCTCCTAATTTTGTAAATTATATTGTTTATAATATCATATACAACGCTTCATACTGAAGATTCTGGAATTCGGGATCTGAATTTGATAGTTGATGACCTTAATTATATGTTTTAACTAGCTAAGTTTATACGGTAACACGTCATGCCTAAGATTTAAATCAATATTGTGAAATTAAGTTTCAATGGGGAGAGAGGAACGAGTGCCAGCGAGAACGCTGGATCCTGAAAAGAGGTGTACTGTGAGATCTCACATCGGTTGGAGAGTAGAATGAAACATTTTTTATAAGGGTGTGGAAAGCTCTCTCTAGCAGATGCGTTTTAAAAACATTAAGGGGAGTCTCGAGAGAGAAAACCCAAAGAGAACAATATCTGCTGACGATGAGTTTAGACTGTTGCAGATATTAAGAATGTGGATCGACAGTCGTTGGTCTGAACATTCTTCTGCAATATAACCAAGTTATGTATTTATCTCGAATTGCTTGTAAGAGTGAAGACTATTCCCACAAACCAACACGGGTTATTTTAGAATGTTTTGTCCTCGCCCATATACTTCCTAGAAAAATTCCTAAGAGGTTACCTGACATAGAATCGTTCTAAGTTAAACACACTTAATTTTGAAGTTTCTATAATTGAGCCACTGAAAAATAGATGGTAACTATCAATCCACCCACCTTGAGAGCCCAACGTCCTCGTTGGCACTCGTTCCTCTCAGCAATCGATGTGGGATCTCACTATCCACTCATCTTCAGGCCCAACGTTCTTGCTGGCACTCGTTCCTCTCTCCAATCGATGTGGGATCTCACAATCCACCCATCTTCAGGGCCCAATGTTCTTGTTGACACTCGTTCCTCTCAGCAATCAATGTGGGATC